CTCTCAACTTTGATGGAAATACCTCATAAAGCAAAGGAATTAGCTTTGATTTGCACTCCATTCAATACATTGTGTGAAAGACCCATGTAGTTCCTTATCGCCATGCTGTTTAGGTCAGCCATTCAAGTTTTGCAAGTAACTGAGTTGCCACGAATGAATCAGTCATCACAAGAAACATTAAAAGAATGTCCATTTTAATATAGACTGACTTCTGATATATAATATTGTAATGATGAGCCATGAAAATCAAACCCCAATCTTTAGAGCCATGCTGCCATTAGGAATGATATTTGGTTCAAAGAAAAAAACCTAGTTGCAAGAGCTTTGTGGTCAGTTAACAGATTGGATTTCCTACAGTACAGGTTTTTCTGAACCTTTGTAACACCATGACCACTAATATAGATAACACAGTATAGAGCTGGAAGAACACAGCAGGCCAGGCAGCATCTGAGGAGCTTCGGGTTGGATGCTTCTTCAGAAATGGGGTGGGGGAAGGGATAAATAACTAGAGGATGTATGGGGCTGGGGAAAGGAGTTCCGTACTGTTATCTCTGACTCCAGCATCTGCAGTTCTTGCTATCTCTGAGATCTTTGTTTGGATTTCACAAAACATGAAGTATATGTTATGCCACAGGCTTCCTCACACTATCTTCCATTATGTGACATACTACCACACCTAAAACACTAAAACCAAGCTTTTTTTTTCTTGGGATCACAGTGGATCAAAACAACATCATGCGTCGGAATTTTCTTCACTCTTCTAAATCCTGACTCTGCGACCTCAACCACCTAGAAAGACAAAAGGCAGCAAGTATATGGAAACTTCCTCTCCAAGCCCCACACTATCCTGACTTAGAACCACATCTCCTTGCCTTCACTGTCATGGGAGTCAAAGTCATGGAACTGCCACCTCCTCCCCACAACAGCACTGTGCATGCGGCTACACTCTCAAGGACTGCAGCGCTTCAAGACAACTCGCCACCAGCTTCTTCAGGGTAATTGCAGATGGGCAATAAATGCTGGCCTAGCCAGTGACACCTACATCTGTTTTGTTTTTAGAAAAGTTCATGCTTGAAATTACATTATGCTTGTGATCTGCACAAAACTAAATGGACCTGTTTGCTTCTTCAACCACCACAATTGGTGCAGACATTGACTTTCTTAATTGCACCCATTCTTTCTAATCTATCCAATTCTTTACTCACTGCTTCCAACTGAGGATAAAGCATTGGCCTTGCCTTGGCTGTGCACAGTTCTTTATTTCAGCTTTGGCCGTGTAATGCCTAATTTTATTGTTTGATCCTCCTTTTGTGGAGCAGAAGTACTGATTTCAACAGTAAATAACCAGTTTAATAATGTCGCCTTAAGCCAGTTCTTTCCTGTCAGGAAGACTTAATTCCAGTTGGAATTCTCTTGCAGCTGAATACTTGATTTATATTGAGTGACAAGCAAATTAATCAACAGGCAGGTCTGAACTTGGAAGTTGGGTGTTATATCAGCTGTGTGGTGATGATATCAATTCGTCTGCTTTCGGCATTTAGAGGAGAAGTGGTCTTAGAAAGGAAGTGCCCCTCGCAACATGGTGTGCATTGCAACATGCAGCTCCAGGTTGGTGCTGGGCTTCTGTTATGCCAATCCAACAGCTGTATAGATCTGAATTTCCCTCCTTTTAAATTTCTAACCTTTCAAAGAACAAGTGACTCATTTTTTCTCTCAATGTATCCACATTGCATGTTTTTGCCAGAAGGAGTTTCATCTAGTATTCTATCATCTTTAGCATGTTTGTGCCTCTGTTTTGTTGCAATCATGCTATTAGATACAGCCGCACAGTAATTGGGATCCGCTTGAAATCTCAGCATCATCCCTGCAATCCTACATCCAAATCTTTTCTGTGCAGTGTATGGTGAACCACAGCCAAAGTGGTGGCCACTGTCTGCGGGTTTGAGAATTTTCCCAAAACGTTTATTCCTTATTTTTTTCTGGTTTTGTCCATCTTTTCATACATTCTTTGTTACCCAATCAACAAATGTGGTACCTTCTTAGGGACCTTCTGAAAGACCACACGTACCAACCTACAACATTGCTGTTATTAGCTCAAGCACCCAATAAGTTTGGTTACATGACCTTTTTTATAAAATCCAGTTTTTTTGTCTGATTTTTGCAATCATAGATCACAGAATTCCTACAGTATGGAAACAGGCCCTTCAGCCCAACAAGTCCACACCGACCCTCGGAGCATCCCACCCACACCATCCCCTTATAACCACCTAATCTACACATCCCTGAACACTACAGGCAATTTAGCATGGCCAATACACCTGGCCTGCACACCTTTGGACTGGGGGACGTAACCAGAGCAAACCCACGTAAACATAGGGAGAATGTGCAAACTCCACACAGTCACCCAAGGGTGGAATCAAACCTGGGTCCCTGGTGCTGTGAGGCAGCAGTGCTAACCACTGAGCCACCGTGCCACCTCTGTAATATTCTGTGTGTGGGGAAATGCCATTGGTGGATCACAGAGGTTTTTGAGGAGGTTGCCTCCAATAGGTACTTGGCACTGCAATGTAGATGGGAGAATGAGAAGGTACCATTATCAATGATTTCAGAGTTTGGAGAGGACAAGGAATGAAATAAGGCATTACTAACTCCCTGGCCTCTTGTCATGTGGCCACCTCTACAGATTGCTTGCTCTCTGAAAAATATGGACCACATCTTTTTTCCTTTATTTGGCTGGGCCAGAATTTTTGCCCATCCCTAAATACCCTTGAAGGTGGTGTTGAGCCAGCTGTTTCATCCAGTTCATGACAATATAGGTATGTGTATGGAGGCAACTGGCAGGTAGTGGTTCCACATATCTACTGCCCTTGTCCTTCTGGATGGTAAAGGTCACAAATTTGGGAGGTGCTGTCTGATTAATGCACTCAATAGAAATTATAAATGCAAATCTCTTTTTGTAAAGCACTATGCTTGAATGCTGGCCAATTAAAGCACTTACATAAAATAGTAAATGCAGCAACCAATTTGAGTGTAGTAAACTCTCTCTCAGCTGTCACATGAGGAGAGGCTTGTTCAAACTGGAGTATAGAAGAGTAAATAGTGACTTGATTAAAATAAGATCCAGAATGGTCTTCATGGGGTAGACATGGAGAACACGTTTCCTCCCATGGATGAGTCCAGAACTAGGGAGCACTGCTTTAAAATTAATGGTCAGCCTTTCAGGACAGAGATGAGAACGCTTTGCTCTTCTCTCCAAGGATTGTAGAACTTTGAAAGTGTGTCAGCAGGTGGTGGGTTCATAGGATATTTTTAAGGTAGAGTTGTATAGATTCTATTTAGGCAAAGGGTAGATGGGAATGTGGAATTCAAAACACACAGAACAGCCATGATCTTATTGAATGGCCATGAAAGTTCAAGGGTCTATTTCTGTGCCTATTTCATATGTTCATACAGACGACAATGTGAAAATAACCAGGGATCTGTTTTTATGATGATTGAGGAAAAAATTTGGCCAGGACTTAAAGGACAACTCCTCTTCTCTTCAAAATAGTAGCAAAGGATCTTTTTACATGTACCTGAGTTTAAAGACAATCCTTCCAAAAGTGCAGCACTCTCTCAGTACTGCACTGGAGTGTCAGCCTTGATTTTACTTTTTGTACTTGAGCTCTGGAGTGGGAATTGAAACTGGTACTTTGTGACTCAAAGGTGAGACTGCAACGACTTGAGTCAAACAGGCACTTTAATTGGCTACCCTCACCTGACAGGAAGATGGCTTTGACACCCTCCCCACCTCTGAAATTAGGCTGGAGGTGGGAATGTACTGATAAGCTGGCATGCTGACTGAAACATGAAATTGTTGTATTCCTACTTCTTTAGTCCTCCAAAAATTCACCCCCTTTCCATGGATATGCATGTGTGGATTCTAGTGCCTCTGGTACCTACTCCCTGGTTTCTCTCGGAATGTTTGACGTTAGTTGACATGGTTCCAAATGTTGGACGATTCTGATTGGAACCAGCCAGCAGGTGATGTATTGGAGCTAACTTTGACTCCTTCCTCTGTAGAGGAATCATTCTTGGCATGAGTACTGTTGATGAGCACATTTTAATGGCATCAATATCAAATTAGAGACATTTTCTTACACATTAATAACCACCTCCATCTTTGTCTACATTGTAGGGTATCAACTAACATTGTGCTTTCATTATGTAGCTCAGAAGATGGAAATGGAAAGTCATCACAGAAAAAGGTACCAACAATAAAGTCTAAAATTTGAAACCGTTATTTAACTTCGTAAAGTTTTTGATTAAATCCTTTTTAGATGTACTGAAGATCAATTATAACTTACTTGTGAACATTAAAGTAGCTGTTCTGAAGGTTTAACTACATTTATAAAATGTAACTGAATTTATATACAAATATCTTAGCAAGTGATTCACATTTTCAGCTGTGATTAAATTAGTGGAATATCACTCGGTAATATTGTGTATTGTTGGATTGGTAAATATTTTAACTCTTTAACACCAACAAAAATAAAGCCAATTTTTCCTTTTAATCTGCAGCACAAAGTTATTTTGCGTCAGTTCAGCATTGGTGAGGATAGGCTCCAAAAGAGACAACCAATAAGAAGTATGGATGAAAGTAAGTTCAAAGTACTGCTGTTTTTATTAGCACTGATGAAGGTGTGGCGTCACATACCTTCACATGGTGCACACACATCGTCTTCTGACGGGGATTGTGGGTGGTTAAAGTGGGTGCTTGTGTGCTGTGTCTTTAAATCTTGGGGGAAGGATAATTATTTCTACTGTTCAAACCATTTGCCATTGGCTTTGTCTTCTGACACTCCTAAAGGATTTACATTGCGCAAATGGAAACTTCTGCACATGCACGCTTTGCCAGTTTTAAAAAAAGTGTCCAAATAAACACAATAAAAATGACAAATATGACTGAATGACATAACTGGCAGTACTGCCAGGGATACTGCATGTGCGCATTTTGCACGTACTTTAGTCAGAGTGCTTTGGGGGTGTCAGTAGACATTCTTTTTGTTGATAGTTTCCTTTTTGTTTCCAAAGATGCCCATTTCTTGTGAGTATGGAGCCAACTGCTGTGCATTCTAACCTGGTTGTAGAATTTAATTGCAGATGTGCATGGCTTTTCACAGTATGGCCAGGGATAAGTTGTCTGATCTTGTTGGGACTGTCCAGTCTTTCAAGCTTACCTTTTGTCCTGTAATTGCCTGTATTCTATGCTGTTCGAGATTATTTGATATTGCTCCACAGCTCTTTGTTGTGTGTCTTTCTCCCAGCCTGTAGTGGACATGCCACATTTCTTTAATTTCAAAATCAAGGTGAAATTCAAACCATTCAGAAACGATTCTAATGTAGAGTCACACCAGACTCAGTATTAACTGTTTCTCTCTCTGCAGACACCTCCAGACCTGCTGAGTTTCTGCAGCATTGGGTTTGTTTCAGATTCCAGTATCTGCAGTGGTTTGCTTTTATTCTGATATGAGTATTGTTATTATGAGTATCTCAATTCCAGACACTTCTGCTCTTTGAAGTAACTCCGTATTGGGCACCTTATCTATTTGATGTTCATGACATTCTGCATCTTGTGTGGAACCTATCCTACTTGAAATGACTAGAGTAGGCCATCCATATCTAATATGTATGTAGCACCTACCTGCATATTGGACAATAATACCACAGTCTTGTACACAACAAATGTTTTTGAAAGTTTGCCTCATACCTTCTGCAGTCTCTATGGAAATGGGAGGGGAAGAATCCAGTGGTCATGATCAATAGGTACCAATGACTTGGTAGAACTAGGAAAGAGGTTCTGCATACAGACTATGACAATCTAGGCACTAAATTAGAAAAGCAGAACCTTAAAAGATATAATCTCTGAATTATTATCTCAGCTGCTTTCAAATGGCCATATGGCACATAAAGTTGGAGAGATTAATGCACGTTTCAGAGACTGGTGTGAGAGAAGTGGGTTCTGGGTGGGGGCTATTGGCACCAGAACCAGGGAATGTGGGATCTGTACCACACCTGAATCATGTGGGGCCAGTGTTGCAAACTGCATGTCTAGGGAGGTAGAGAGGGTTTTTCACTGAATACTGGAGGCAAAGCATCAAATGTAGAAACACCCAGTATATCAAAAACCACAAGATGTAGGAGCAGAAGCCATTCTGCTCCAACATTCAATGAGATCATGGCAGATCTGATCATCTGTAATTCCACTTTCCTGCCTTTTCCCATATCCTTGATTCCAAACTGATTAAAAATCTGTCGGTCTCCACCTTGAATACACTTAACAACCCAACAACTATAGCCCTTTGTGGCAAACAATGCCATGGATTTAGACAAACCTCTTAGAAATTCCTCCTCATCTCTGACTTAAATGGGCAACGCCTTATTGTGATGTCCTCTCCCACCAGAGGAAACAACCTTTCCTCACCTACCCTGTCAAGTCCCTTAAGAATCTTGTATGTTTCAATGAGGTCTCCTATCATTCTTAACTCCAATGGGTACAGGCACAACCTACTCAATCCCTCCTCATAAGATAGTCCCTCCTCACCAGTAACAGCTGAGTGAACCTGCTCTGGCCTGCCTCAGTAAACCACAATATGCGACAAAGTATGCAAGGAGGAGTATTAGGTGCATATGGTAGAGGACGACAATAATCAGAGTGACTGGAAAATCTGATTAGCAGAAGTAGCCTGGATGAGGAGTGCAAAGAATGTTTTTGGGATTTTCTTACAACAAGTTTTGGAACTGACCAGACATCAGGTTGTTATTAGACTTTGTATTACGTAATGTTAAAGATTAATTAAGAACCTCAGACTAAAGGTAGTAGCAACCACAATACAATTGAATTTTCCATCCAGGTTGAAAGGGAGAAGTCTAAGACTAATATTTCAAATAATGACCAAGTGGGCATCGGCACTTAAAGTGAACTGGCATAATCTGGTAGGGAATAAATTAGTAGGAACACAGTGGCAGTCATTTAAGAGGTTATTTCAGGTTACTCAGAATCAACATATTCCCACTTATATTAACATAAAGAAGGGACCCACCATCAATGGTTAACTAAAGAAGTTAAAGAAAGCATCAAACTTCAGGAAAGTAAATATAACTGAAAGATGAATGACTGGTCAGAATATAAAGAATGGCATAGAATGACTAAAAGGTTTATCAGGAGGAAGAATTTGGAGTATAAGGGGAAGTCAGCTAGGGATGTAAAAACAGATAGCAAGAGTTTCTATGTGTATTTAATAGAGAAAGAAGTAAGTAAAGATGGTGTTGGTCCTTTACAATGTGATAATGGGAGCTTAACAGTATATAATAAGGAAACGGTAAATGGAATAAACAAATACAAACACCAGTTAGCTTGACATCTGTCATGGGCAAATGTTAGAATTGATCACTAAAAAGGTTACAACTGCAAACTTTAAAAATTCAAGGTGATCAAGAAGAGTCAGCATGGTTTCAACAAAGGGAAATTATGTTTAACCAATTTATTGGAGTTCTTTGAAGCAGTAATGCACTGTGGATGAAGGCGAACCTGTAGATCTGTTACACTTGGTACTTGATAAGATGCCTCATCAAAGCTTTTGGAGAAAATAAAAACTCATGATGTAGAGGGTAACATAGCATGAACTGAAGATTGGTTGGCTGTCAGAGGGTGCATAAATGGGTCTTTGTTTGATTAGCAGGATGTGACCAGTTAAGTCTCACAGGGAGAAATGCTGGGCCTCAACCATTTACAATTTACATCAGTGACTTAGATGAGGGGAGCAAAGACATGTAGCTAAATTCATACTTCACGCAAAGGTAGGAAAGTGTTATGAAGGAGACGTAGGAAATTGTAAATGGGTTGAGTCAGTGGGCAAAAGTCTGGCAAAAGGAATATAATGTTGGAAAATGTGAAGTTTTTCATTTTGTCAGGAAACATTTTAAAAAGCACCATAATACTGAAATGGGGAATAATGCAGAATTCCACAGTACAGAGGGATTCAGATGTTCTGGTACTTGAATCACAAGAAGTTAGCATACGGCTGCAGCACATAGGCATGAAGACTATTGAGATGCCATCTGTTATTACAGGAGGAATTAAATCTAAAAATGAGGATGTTATGCTTCATTTACACCGTGCACTGAGACCACATCTTGAATACTGTGTGCAGTTTCGTCCCTATTTAAGAAATTAGGTAAATACATTGGAGGTTGCTCAGAAGTTTACTAGATTGATACCAGGATTGATTGAGTTTACATATAAGGACAGGGTGGCCAGGTGGGGTTTATTTCTATTGAAGTTTAAAGGAGTGAGGGAAGGGGGGCCTCTTGTGACACGGTGGTAATGTCCCTGCCCGTGGATTGGGATGTGTAATAACATCTCCAAACAGGTTGATTAGAAAAATAAAAATAAAAATGAGGATGAATTGATTGAAGTGTACAAGATCCTTCATGTCCTTGACAAGTTCAATGTGAAAAGGATATTTTCATCTGAGAGCGAGTACAGAACTGTGTTTTTGAAATTAGGTGTCACTCTTTCAGGACAGATGAGAAATATTTTGTGTTGTGTGACTTTGGAACACTCTGGAGGTGGGGCTGTTGTATATTTTTATTAAAACTGAGGTAGTTAGCTTCTTTAGTAAAACCAAAACTGTGGAAAAATAAACTAAGCCGGTCTGGCAGCATCTGTGGAGCAAAAACGGTTAATGTTTTAAGTCTAGTGACCCTTCCTTCTTCAGAATGTAATAACTTCATGTTCGGCAGGGATTCAGAAGTTACTAGGGATAGTTGGGAATGTGGAATTTGAAACGTGAACAGATCAGCCATGATCTTACTGAATGGCAAGCAGGCTCAAGGAGTCAAATGGTCTACTCCTGCTCCTGTTTTGTACATTTGTATGAACCACAAGCTGACTTAATCTAAAGCTGGGACGTTGAATGTTTGCCTTCCATGCAATCAGGTGTTCCTGCCCACCCCACTTCCTGTTGACAGGAGCTTCACCGGATTCTGCTTCTTGATTTCCCAGCAGACCATCCCAAACTTGATCATTACCTCTGACTGACGTCATCTATCAGAATGATCTTGACCTCGAGTGGAGTATTTTCAATAGCTGTGTCCAAATCCTCATAGAATTTGTCCTTAATCTCCTCAAGACTAACTGTTATTGGAGTTTATGTATTGGTGTTTGTTGTATACTTGTTCATGTTCATGTAGGTTAGGCACGATGATCATTTATGCCTTTTAGGGAGAGTATCCAACCTTTTTGCAAAGTCACACTGGAGAGCAAAGCTGCCTTTCACACTTTTGACTGCCCATCCAGGAAAATGCATGGCCTGCTGACACCTTTGTCCAATGGCCCTCTGTTAGGTTGGTTATACTTAAAGCAGGAATGTCAATATAGCGTTGCAGTTCTGCACTGGGGTCTGGATCTGTTGTCATTATCAAGTAGGAGTACGTAAGTTTCAAAAGTCCAGCTAAAGTTTCCATTTCCTTCTTTTTTTGATTTACCTGCAATATAGAGTATTGTTTGCATAAAACTAAAGGAGTACATTTCAGGATGTAACGGGAGGTGCAAATTAAGTTTGAACAATCTGGACAAGTTATGACAGACTAGTTGGACTTGAAACCACATGTTATGGTCCAGAGGTATGGGCACCACCACTGAAGGAGTCTGCAAGTATGCACGAGAAACTTACCCCACCGCTGCCAACTCCACAATGTGAGCTGATTTAAGTGTTGATGGATTTTACTTGACCAGTACCACACTCTGTTTTCCACATCTGTTCCTGGTGGTTTGACGAGTCAATATAACTGAAGATGTGATCAATACAGTGAGCGGTCCATAGCATCTTGTGCACCAGTGCACTTTACAGCTGTTCACACAGTTGTGCTGCAGTACTTTCAGAACTAGTGATGGAAAAACAACTCCTTTACTACATCTTCAAGCCAGCTGCCTTTTGTGCACTTGAATAAGAGTGGTTGGTCCTGGCGACCACAACACTATACATTTTAGGTTTGTTCTAGAAAGGAAATGGTCTTCAAAGAATGGTTTTGGATTGGAGGGAAGGTAGATTTTATTAAAACAAGCATTTGTGGTCCTTAGAAAAAAAAGTTTTATGGATTATTGCAGTAAAAATTTTGAAATCCCTGTCTTCTTAATGTTGTGAAAAATAAAAAGAATCTATTAAATTCATGGTAAACGTTCACTCTAGTGGTAGGGAAGATAAATTTTGACAGTCTCTTTTTGGTACTGCATAAAAAATTATTACAAAATATAATCTCACCTAGAACTGCTGTGGGTAGAAAACAAAATCATGTTGCTTGCTCTTGCTATTATGCTGTGGTCCACAACACTGTTCGTGATTCTTTGGTCACTTAACATCTAGTTCAATCATTACATTAAAATCACATAAAGCAGGAGCTCTGTACCTGATTTCAGTTCCAGTGGGCTTGAAGAATTTTTTTTTTCGGGGGTTGGGGGTGGGGGTGGGGGGGTGGTGGTGGGTGCGGTGTTCATATTTTTTTAAAATCATTCTCCAGCGGCTTGATGTTTTAAAAACACAGCAAATCTTAAGTGACAGGAAGATCTCTGAATTAGTCCTTTTCTCTTTTTTTGATCATTTCTCAGCCTGCTCAATATTAAAATGGCATCTTCAATTTCCCCTGTTATTTTGCTTAACCTTCCAATCCAAATCAAAATTCAGAATTCCATGTGAGAAAACTGTGAACACCTTCAGTCATGGTATAGAGGACAGTGAAGTAGCCTGTTGGTACTCCCTGTTAGTACTGGCACAGAAAATGTGCAGAGAGAATATGCCCCAGGCTAAGCCACTGCTGCAAAAGTGGAAGGAAACAAAGGATTAAAGAAAGTGGTGAAATCTCATTTTTCAAATTTAATGAAATAGTATGATTGTAATGTTGATCCTTTGAGTGATCAACATCAAAAACACAAACTGTTCTGGACAGAACAAAGTTCTGTTTTTAAGTTGTCAGTTTATGTTCCTTGTAACCTCAAAGCTGTTGTGTATTTTTCTAGTACTCTTTAAGGTTTACTGCATTGATCATACTTACACCACAATCCGTGTGCGTGTGGCAGCTTCCGTAACAGAGGTCATCAGTGCTGTAAAAGATAAGCTTGGATCAACAGAAGACCTAATTCTTGTGCAAATGAGCTCAGCTGGAGGTACTTATTGCTGTCTGCAATGTAAAACAAAGTATTTTTGTTATATTTTTATATGTATCTACACAAAAGTATGTGAAATGCTGATCATTCTATAAAGCAAATAATTTAACATCTAGTTTGCAGCGAAACCTTGATTTTGTGAGAGATGGTCACTGTCGTGCACTTGTGTAGCATGAATGCTGATTGACCTTTACCAGACCAAGTCCAGGTCTTGTGGTGTTTGAACACCGGATGCTTCAATGTCAAAAAATGCTTCAATAAATGGTTTAAATGTCGTACAGTTCATCAGCAAACATCTTCACTTCTGATCTCATGATGGAACAACGGTCACTGATGAAGCAACTGCAAGTGCCTAGGCCTAGGACACTACCCTGAAGAACTCTTGCAGTGATGTTCTGGGGTTATAATGATTGACTTCCAACAACCACAGCCAGCTTCCTTTTGTGCTGGTTATGATTCCAACCAGTGGAGCATTTGTTCCTAATTCCCATTGACTCCAATTTTGCTGGAACTCCTTGATGCCACACTTGGTCAAATGTAGTCTTGATGTCAAGGGCAGCCACATGCTCCTCATCTCAAGTTCAGCTCTTTGCTCCATGTTAGGACCAAAACTGTGGTGTGGTCAAGAGCCAATTGGCCTTGCAGAACCCAACTGAGCATCAGTGAACAGCTTCTTTCTTTGCAAGTACCGCTTGATAACACTATCAACAATCCTCTTCATTACTTTGCTAATGATCGAGAGTAGAGTTTTACCATTATTACTTGCTGTGGTTCTAATTTCTGCTACACTGTTTGTTTATCTTTGTCTCTTCCTACAATTCTTCAATTACCATTTGCAAATATAATCTTTATTCAAATCATTTTCCAATATTTAGAGATACTGTTAATCTTAAAAATATATTTTTGTCTCCTGGTTGGGCCCATGTCTGGCATATTGCCTTAATAGGCCAAGAGGACAGCTTACTGCTAGGGGTCTGTCAATTCCACTGTCAAGCCAACTACAAAGTGCCTAATACTGATTTTTGAATAGTATTTCATCAATTTTATTTTGTATTATCCCTTTTTGGTGGAGAAGTCATTTTCGCTATTCACTATTGTAGAGCAACAAAGTTCAGGAACATATTGTTACCGGTTGTGAACAGTTGATCCTTATTCTACAGCCCTGAGTTTGACCATCAATATCTATGGCACCTAATTATTTTTCAATCAAAGCAAGATTGCATTGTATGGGTAGGGATCAACTCACTGAATTTCCCTTCTATTTTTCCCCCAGAAAAAGTGGTGCTGAAGCCAAATGAAGTTTCGGTTTTTACAATGCCAAATGTGAATGGGCGCTTGTTTGTCTGTCCAAGGGAAAAATTTGATTGTCTGGTATGTATATCTGCTGCACCAGTAATAGAGTTTGTATTTTTCAGTTATTCACCTGACACCGTTCTGCTATTTAATATTTTGATGTATGTAACTAACATTTTTATTGTGATTTAAGTGAAAAGCATTTCTGTCTACACATTGCTAATCTACTTTGTTTTGGACATTTTTAATTCCAATTTTTTTTTTCCCTTGTCTGGCTTCTAGTTCATCTGGTGAGCTGTATCTAGCAGCCACACTAGATTTTGATCGTAGTCAGCAGTGGTTTCTTCATCTTCTTTTAACTAGCATATCATCCATTATAGGTTCCATTCTGAGGTTACTAACTATGTCATGCTGTCTGTGTTAATATTCCTCTGGAACAAAGACATGCTAAATGGCATACACTTCAAACTGTATCTCCTGAACAGCATCTATAATGTAATTGGAAAAACTGCTACTTTCATCCAGCTCCACTTGCCAGTAACCAGCCTTTGCATCCAGGGCTTGCAAGTTCTGGAAAATTTCTTTCAAAGCTAAGATGTCTTCAGAGTTTTAGTTCGATGATTTAACAATACATACACTCCACTATCTCGGTTGTTTCACTGTTGCCATGCTGCTAATCCATACGGTCGGAGTTGTCACATTTTTATTATTTCCTTCCTTCCCAGCTCTTTTACCTTGTCTTTCAGGCTGGCCTCAAGGACAGCGAGAACCTTCATTAGTGGGTGCTGGATTGGTCTCTTACCCATCCACTTTGAGATAATATTCTCCAGAAAGACGACATAAACAGAATATCGTATTCCTCCAGGGTCTGTTCTGCTTTCAGTAGTTTAGTGTGCATGTTGAAAGCCATTAGTACAAATTTTAGACTTGTTCTGGCTGAGATAAATGTTTTTTGCTTGCTGTCTCTGATCTGGAACTTCAGGTTTTGATCTTGTCATGCACTGGGCTCTCACAGTAATTTGTTGTCATTTTTAAGTAATATGCCATCATGTAGCTTACTTTGAGGGTTCCATTTACGGACCAACCTCTGAGCTGTATGAAGATTATGATATTCCATGATATGCTGATGTCTTTTTGACACATTTTATGTTGACTTGATGTTGTCTTCTACAGTTGTCATTTCAATAGTGACAAACTGGTTCACCTCGTGTTGATAAGTGATACATAATCTATTGTATGCTGTAGACTGATCCATTAGTATCTTTGCCTGACATCTCTTCAGTGGCCATCTATGCCTGCATTTTATGCTTCCTTCTGACCAAACATGTGCAAGATGATTTGGCTTCCTGTAGTGAATTTTCCTAAACTGGACCTGTCTTTTTTTTTGTGTGGGATGACGTCGGCAGCATTTGCACTCTGCCCATTGTCCATAATCTTTCTGCCCTCTTAACCTGGAATGTCTATCAGCAGACTGGAAAGTTTGGTCTGTTTTGCCATGAATATGGTCTAGGTGCTGATATACACCAGAGTTTTATAGCACATGTCAATTGCTTTCTTGAGAGTATGTTTCTCCTATTTCAGTAGATGTAATGTCATTGGGAAGTCTCTTATGCCTAATACAACCCTGTTTTTAATTAGATCATCTATAAGTTGCACAAATTCACAAGATTCTGCAGGCTGTGTGAATGCAATCGCCTATCAATCAACAGATTTTTATACCTTGGACCCTAATGTTGAACATAATTTATGAACAGTATATGTTCACTTTAAGCTCAAAGCCTGTTTTTAAGACTCTTGAAATTTCTACGTCTGTTGCTTCAGTTGTTCAGAGAAATTTAGAGTAGAATACACTTTTGAAATAGTCTCTCCCCAACAGTCATAAAACTGTAGCTACTCATAGTTGCTCTGGCTTGTTAATTAATTCTTAATTAAGTCGCACAATTTTGCCATTGTGAGTAAAAAAACAGCCAGTATCATACTGTCTTTCATATCAATCACTGCTGAAAGAAGAAAATTTGCAACCATTGTGACTTATCTGGTGACTTCAGCTGTGTTTTGGTTATTTTTTTTTTTGGTAGCTTCTTGTGGCTGTTAGCAATTTCCAGAAGCTCTGAATATTTCTGCGTTCTTCTTTTAGTAATTATGCTTCTATGTAGTTTTTCAGTATTCCATTTCAGTTCCACTGAGAGGAATTTTCGAAGCCCCTGAATAACATGGGCCATGGAAGGAAAGTCTGAGCTGTTACCTGCCAAATCTACCTCACTACTTGCTCTTTTGGACATTGGGCACCAACAACTCAAACTGCATGCATTTCCCTGACCTCTGTCCATGGACTTTGATGCGTGACATGTACCAGCCGTAATGCATCCTCATGACACATCTCCAATCCATTCACCTACGGTATGCTTCTGCACTTACAGTATGCAATGCTGCAGTTTGGAGAGCAGTAGCACCTTCCATTGCAATGCTGCTGCCAGGACACTTTGCTGATATATACCAGAGTGCTACAATACATGTTTGTGACAACTTATGTTATGGGAGATAACATAAGCATTGCTGTATCAGATAAAACTGCCTGTGACAGGCAACCTCGCATCACAAATTTTGATATTTATGTATTGGGTTTTGTCCATTATCGAACATGTGGAATGGCTGAAATAGATGCAGCCCTGAATTGGCTTTTAGTATTCCTACAATAGACTGAAAGTCAGAAAATGTGTCATGCTTCTGTTGTTAACATTGGTTTGCCTGTGATTTTGTATTTAAAATGGACTTCCTGCATCCTGTAGTTTCCTTTAATGGGAAATCTTAATTTTATTATCATTTTACGATGGATTTTAGGCCAATAATGTTCTACAGAGCCAGCTACAATGCGAGTATAATATAAACCTTTATCATTGCTACCATTCAAGTTGATCATAAACAATTTAATGAGGGTTTGGAGTCCTGTTAATGGGATATTTCTTGGAGCATATTCTGCCTTCTGAACACTTGAAACAAAAACATCGGAAACAAGAAACCAGGAAATTAAACTTTGTAAGGGATGAAGCTGCACTATTTACAGAATCTCCACTCTGGGAGAACAACATGTGACTTCAAGTTATACAATTTAACAGGTCAACAAGTCATGTTTAATATCTGACAGTGTATGAGTGAGTTTGATTCATCTGATGAAAGGCCACAGCTAATATTATACACTGCATTGAACAGAAGTATAAACATAATTTAACATATGTAGGAAATGGCAAGTATGATTCCAAACAGCAAAAGCTATCTCTACCTGTGTACTTTTATAGTTAACTGTTCAGGTTGTGTTTGCCTTCCTATCAAAGCAATTAAATACATCTCTAATACTAAAATTTTCCACGCTGAGTAATTCTGCATTAATTAGCAAATCTCTGGGGCCAATAAAGTTCCTTTAGCAGATAACTTGCATATTAAAGCAGGAGATGGCAATATTTCTTGCATCGTGATCATCATTGTATATATTGTAAATTATCATGTGTATATTGTAACTTTAGAGAGATTATTTGTGACTGTGGAGCATTATCCCTGTTGTCGTCCTTGACTTCACAATTTTTGTCACATTGACCATTCTCTTTGTGTAGTGCCTTTCCTTCTTTGACAATTGAGCCAAAAAGCATTTTTCTCAAGTGTGTAACTCACTATCAAACTATATGGGCACAGCATCTGCAGCAATAGCTTCTCTTCACCCACACCATTATATGGTTAGATACAGCTCCAAACACACCACCCAAGACAAAATAGACACTAGATTGGCATCCCATCCATCAGTTTCAACATTTATTCCCTTCAACACACCATGGCAGCAGTATTTACCATTTACAAGGTAAGCTGCAATAACTCATCAAGGCTCTTTCGACAGCATCTTAAAATCATAGAATCCCTACAGTGTGGAAACGGGCCCTTCGACCCAACAATTCCACACCGACCCTCTGAAGAGCATCCCACCCAGACACATCCCCTTTAACCCACCTAATTTACACACCCCTGAACACTACGGGCAATTTAGCATGGCCAATCCATCAGGCCTGCACATCTTTGAACTGTGGGAGGAAACCAGAGCACCCGGAGGAAACCCATGAAGACACAGGGAGAACGTGCAAACTCCACACACGGTCACCCAAGGCTGAGTTCCTGGTGCTGTGAGGCAGCAGTGGTAACCACTGAGCCACTGTGCCAATCTTTTAATCCTTCCTACCAAATCAAATTTAAAATTATCATCCTTGTGTTTAGATCCTAAATGGCCCCATTCCTCCCCATTTCTAATGCCGCCACTAAGCCCGCAGTCCTCTGCGAATTCTGTCTTTGTCAAACTTTAACCTTTTACACAGCCTGCCTTCCGAGTTTTGTGGCCATTTTTCTTGGCCTTGGGCCAGGCTGTGGAACTTGCTGCGTAAACCCCTTTATCTCACTCTTTTTGGCTTTAAGGCTTTTCTTGAAACCCAGTTATTTCACATCCCCTTAATGTCTACTCTTTTATCACGGTACCAATTTTTATCTTAAAATAACATCTCGAGACATTTCGTTTAAAAAAATTCATGTTATGAATGCAAGTTGTTGCAACAGTATTTTATCGATGTTTGTGAATCATTTGAGTGTAAGTAAATTAATCTCGAGAAAATGATCCACAATTGAGATTTTCTGCTGGTTCTGAGTCTGCCCTTTGTCGCTGGGAAAGAAGCTTTGCACAAGAAGCTTTGTAAAAGCTTATCGCTTTGAGGGCATGCATCAGAGATGGTCAAAAAACAGTTTATGCTCGTTAGAATAGACATTTCAGAACTTTTCATTTCCACCGGCACCCTCAAACCACTTTGATTTAGTTCCCTCGTTTGTTCCTCCACCTTTTTTTGTTTACTTTTTGTTGTGAAACTGCCCTCCTGGGCATTGTTTATTATTTGTTTAGTTAGCTAATTGGGTATTTTTTCCCTTCGAAAAGAGGTAGTTTTCCCAAGTAAGGGAGTGGTTAGGAAGGAGGAAAGGGTGTTTGTATTTAAATATATAGAAACAGTTGTGGATGATAGACTGACTTCTGATTGGTGAGTGGGGATTAACTTCAGTCTCTTCAGATGAAGAGATAAACAAAAATTTTCTTTGTCAAAAGCGCTGCTTCTGGAAGCTCCTGATGCAAAATAGCTGAGTCATTTTACAGGCCCTGTAGCTATGATTACCCACCAATTCTTTTCCCCCTCAGAATTTAAACATCTAAATAATAGAAGAATGAATAGTAGCACCAAGAAGAAACAAAGAATGGCCTTGGCTTTGTCTTTGCCAGAATAAAATATTTTCAGAATTTGGATGTATGCTTCAAAGGGATTGTCAATTCTACTACAATTTTATGGGCAAGACTTACAAAGACTGTTGTTAGAAGTCTGAAGAGTGGTTGACCTTTGATAATCATAAAATGATGCATAGTCAGTCCGTGGAAAAATATCATGGATTTTGGTAGCTTATTTAAAAACTAAAATAATTTAATCTAGAAATTCCTGAGTCTGTTCTTGTTCACATTGTGTTCAAATTTCTAATATGGATGGACTTTTGGTTTTGACAGGGTTTGATTTCATAGGACAAATTCTGTTTTAGAACAAATGACTGCCGTCTGCAGACACTTTTGGGAAAACCATTGTTTCTAGCTACATTTGTGTTCTAAACTGAAACACCGAAAAAGGCGGGCTCCATGCTGCTAACTTTCAGAATCACCAGGAACCTAACGACAGGCTGTTGTATAAAGAGGGGCTTATAGAAAGACATGGAGATGTGTCATGCTTTGAATAGACTTGTGAATCAAGACAAATGCTAGATAGAATGGCATCTGAAAATGAATGAATCCTAGAAATGCACAGGCAATGGTTAATAGGCATTTTCATTTGGGTCAAGACCTCATTCTGCAAGGAATTGGCTGAAAACCAGGAATTGAGTATTTAAGATAACAAGGTGTAGAGCTGGGTGAACACAGCAGGCCAAGCAGCATCAGAGGAGCAGGAAAGCTGACGCTTCGGGTCTAGACCCTTCAGAAATATTTTTTTTTTTAAAAATTGTGCAAAGACAGATGGCAGCTCAGAACATTAGGTGGGATATTAAAAACAAAATGACCAAAAAATTAAAAAGGAGTGAAAAGTTAGACTGCAAGAGAAAGCTAACCATAAATAAAAGCAGATAATAGTTTCTACTGATTTTTTTTTAAAAGGAACTGTTTTAACCAAGTAATCATTGTTCCTGTAGAAAGTGAGACTGGACAACTGATGGGAAATAAGGAAATGGCAAATGAATTAAACAGGTTTTTTAGAGTGGTCTTCACTGTAGAGCATTCGAGCAACATTCTAGAAGCAGCTATAAGTCGGGAAACGGCAGGGAGGAGGAACTGAGGAAAATTACAATCACCAGAGACGTGATGCTGAGTAAATTGCTGGAGTCATAGACTGATCAGTGGCTGGGTCCAGATCAACTTTACCCTCGAGTGAAAGAAGTGGCGAGTGAGATAGTTGATGCATTAGTTTTAATTTTACAAACCTCCATTGATTGAAGGACATCTCCATTAGAATGGAGGACAGTGAATGTGACTGCTTAGTTCAAAAAGGGAGGGAGACAGCACGAAACCACAGGTCAATTAGCATATATCAATAGGGAAAATGAACAAAGCTATCATTAAAGACGTTATAACAGGGAATTTGGATGGATTGAAGGTAATCAGCATTGACATATTTTTCTGAAAAGAAAATCATGTTTAATCAATCTATTGACGTTCTGAGGTAACACATCCTATGGATAAAGGTGGATTTAATGTGCTTAGATTTGATGGGGAACAGCTTAAAAGGTTATTTTGAAAAATAATAACTGATTATCTAAGAGGTAGCCTACTGACATGGTTCAAATATTGGCTAGTTCATAGGAAACAGAGACTCTGCATAAAAAGGTCTTTTTTAAATTGGCAAGATGTAACCAGTCGAGTGTGATAGAGATCAGTGCTGAGATTTGTGCAGCTTACAATTGCCAAATTTGCTGACAAAACAAAGATAGATAGGAAAGAAAGTTGTGAAAGGGATGTATGTAGGCAACAAAGATAAGGCTAAGTTTTGGTGAGTGGGAAAAGGTGTGGCAAATGGAGTATTTTGTGAAATTGTCCATTTGGCCGGAAGAATAAAAAGGAAGTGTTTTATTTAAGTAGTGAGAGATTGCAGATACAATGGGATCTGTTTGTTCTTGGGCAGAATTTTATATGGCCCTGGTCAATGTAGACAATGGTGAGAAAAGTGGCACAATTACACAAGGAGTCCAGTGAGACCCACCATGATTCATATCTTCGGACTGGGTTCCGGGTGTCGAGGCATGATTCTCACTTGGCAGGGGCAAGTTCCCTTTTAAAAGGGATTATTATTTCTTAAAAACCTTTATTAACTGCAGGCCTCATCTCCATTAATATGCAGCTTTAGTTACCTACTACCTGCCATGAACAAACTAGATGCTGAGAATCCTCACCATGAAGTCAGAGCAGGTATGTGGTGACTTCAGTCTGCTGCTTTCTCTGAAGAAACTCCATGTTGGACACCACGTACCAACATCTCAGGGCACGCTCCATGGGCACTGTCCACATGCACATCACATTCACCTGTATTGGCATCCAGCATGTGCCAGCCTCTAAGGATCCTCATGGCACATCTCCACTCCACTTATAGGACTTTTCTGCATTTCAGTGGTTCACAATGGCACAAAAGTAATCATTACTATAATGCTGCAACAAGGACACTGCTTCTGGGGACACACACCCAACTCATGGACTGGACCAGGCTGCATCTCCAGGTTGTTTCTTTGCCCTCCTAGCATTCAGTCACTCTGAACTTACCTAGGTGCTCAGAGCATCGCTGCCTGCCTATTTGCTTCTTGTCCCTCTGCCAGAGATACCAGGTTCACAGCACTGCTAATATTGGCTTGCCGTTTAACGCAAACACGAAGCCCCGAAGCTTAGCGAGTTGTCACCAGTCCTCAGTCAAGAGAGATCACCATCAATCAGAGGGTCCCAGCATTGTCAGTCAAATAAAGTCTCCAATCCCAGCCCGGTGACTTGGGCACGATCCACCAGCTGCTCGGGACAGTCATAGTCTGCATTGCCCCTTCATTTAGGGGCAATTTTTTTTTCTCTTAGATGGTCAATGAGTTTGGAATTCACTTCCTGAAAAGGTAATGGAAGCAGAGTCCTTGAATATTTTTAAAGCAGAAATAGATTCTTGTTAAGCAAGGGTGTGAAAAGTTGTCAGGGTGAAGCGGGAATGACCATATTGAATGATGGAGCATGTTTGAGGGGCTGAATGGCTTACTCCTGCTCCCAATGTAATAGTTTGTGTGTAATCTATTTAATATTATGAAAATGTTTTTCAGCTGCGATAGTATTTTCTGTTCGCTGAGCATAATTTTAGACCATAAGACTTATTAAGCTGCATTGTATCTGTTACAGTGCACAAGGTTTATTGATTTTTGGGTGGTTTTTGATATATCACATTCCTTTCTCTTGGGGAAAAATAACAAGCAACAGCCTAGATTTTCCAATCCCCATGGCGGCAAACATCTCTCAATGGCATCAGAAGTTCTAGGAAGCTAATTTATGTCCACCCAGAACCTGTAGTATACTCCAAGAGGGCCTCATGGGAGTCCTCAGAGTTCCATTTGTTGGTTTCATATTCTGGTTCATACCAACACTTTTTTTTTTTTTTTTTGAAAAATGATTTACTTAGAGCTGTTCTTAGCAGGTGTAAAGCTTGCTGAGGAGAACTGCTCTAAGGAAATCGGAGTGTCAGAGCACTTTAACACTGCTTACGAAACTTCTCAGTCCAAACGCATTCAGCATCAAAGAAAATGCTCGCCTCTTTTCCACCAGCTCCCCCATCTCACCACTCAATCCAGCATCCCTGGCTCGTCAGTCCAGCCAGTGTTTTTTATCATTTGGTGGCCAAGGTAGGGTGGGTGGTTGCGGTGTTGGAAGGTGGGGAGTGGGAAGCATTGTCAGAAAATGTTGCAGAGATCATTGTTGGGGTGTGATGACTATTGTTGAGGGGATGAGCATTATTGGGCTGTGTAGGAAGGGATTAGTGGTGTAGTGGGATTGGGGTGTAGGAATCTTAAAAAAAGCTTCATTTAAAATCAGTGGAGTTCAACGAAGACTGGGATCCTCATGAGCAGGTCTTCAGCTTATGTTGAAATAAGATGTGTGGTTCCACTTTGCCACTTGGCTTCCCAAATCACTCCTTCACAGGATCAAAGCTGGAGCCAGGACAAGAAGGTCCAAAAACTCTAGGATAAAAAGGCAAGGTGCAGTTTTAAATAGTTTCCACTGCTAACTGAAAGATCTGGTCCTAAAATAAGTTCCACTTTGCAGCTAAAGAGCTTTTTTTAATTTGACTTTTGTCCTCGTATGATCTTTTCCAGACACCACTGCCAGAACAGGAAGGCCCATCCACCGGAACTATGGCAACTTTTGAGTTAATGAGTTCTAAGGATCTAGCCTATCAGATTACGATTTATGACTGGGAGTTGTTCAACTGTGTATATGAGGTACCGTAAGAGCTTTAGTATCACCATCCGTACAAATATTAAAAAATTATAATTAATGAGAGAATTAGAAGTCTAACTCTATGTAACCTTGATATCTTCTTCTGGAAGTAGAAGACCCACTGGGCTCAAGGATTCTAACAGGCCAAAGCAGCTGTCTCCACAGGTTTAGTGATATTTTGTTGCCTTTTAACAAAGGGACTTGTATATTTCTTTTCACAACCACTGAACCTCCTTAACTGCTTTGCAAACAGTGAGGTCCTTTTGAAGTGTAGTTGCTATTTTAATGGAGATGTGCAACCAGTTGGTGCACAGCAAGGTTGCAAGTTAATGTGATAATGACAAGTGAAATCCATTTTTTGTATTTCGAATGAGGGATATGTATTAGTCAGCAAAATTAGAGAAGCCCTGTCCCAGATCTCCTATTGAAGTGATATAAAAGTTACGTTAACTTTGAGGGCAGACAAAGTCTCTGATTAATCCTGTCTCTAAGTCAAGAATTCTTGTACTTGTGCTGCAATGTCAAAAGCCAGATCCATGTTCTACTTCTATAGTTTTAATTGACAACACTTGCTTAACACCAAGGAGCATGTGTATTACCAGCAATGTGTCTTATGAATGTAGTAACAAATACTGACATATTGACAACCACCAATTAATGATACAATTTTAATGAAATATTGGGTAAGAAAAATGTGTTAAACAAGAGAATTTTTACTTTATTTAAAAGTTGGCTTAATATTGTGCACGTGCACTCGGCTAGAATCAGCAGTGCGTTGATGTTAGCAAGCTTATCGGTTTTAATAACATAAACAGACCACTTTGAAAGATTTGCAATTGGACTCAAGTCTCCTTGTTCACCAGCTCATTTTAAATTTTCACCATCTTATATATAATATGATATATATATATATATTTCCTTTTCCTTTCGTCATCCCAAAAGGTATGTGAAATTTTTGACCTAATTGGTTACATCCTTTCAAATCATAAACTGTGCAGTTGTCACCATGCACTTGCAGTCTTCTGCTCCTTAGTTCATATCCATATTGCCTTTATTCCATTGTGTGCGTTCCTATTATTATCGAACTTCCTACACAGAACCTTTATTAAATATATCTAAATGAGATATTAACATACATTCAATATAAATTGCCTTGTTGGATGCCAGCTTTACATCTTCTAACAAGATTCTCGGGAAATATCAACGTAAGTTGCCACCAACATCGAAACCAACAGAAATTTCAGTGTGAATGGGCTTTGAATTAATACCTCAGTTGTTTTTTGATTTACTTCTATACATATTAAACTAGAATTGCTACTGTTCTAATGCTTCTGTAACATGGAATCTGTCTAGTGTGACTGTTGGTAACGTTTTATTCTTGTCTTGAATTCACTGCTGTAGAATTTGTGCAGTGTTTAATTCTGTAGGCATGAAGTCCCATATGTAAGATGATATCCTTCTGAACTTCCTGAACTTTCTTTGGAACTTGCATTGAAACAAAAATGTGCCCACTTGCTTAATGCTACATTTCAGAAAGCAACTAAGCTATTACAAAGCTAGAAAAGAAATCAGCTGCAAAACAAAACAGATGACCTTAAAAAGCTAAGAAATGTTATATGGTACAAAGGAGTTGTGTTTCATGTCAAAATGGGTGTGTGTTTCAAGCTGAAATTCTTGGTCTGTTGCCAGGAACATGAATGCTGTTGCTTTCTATTTCTATTTATGGATGCTGTTTCCTATTAAAATGGAGAAAGCTTCCTTTTAAAGTGCACGTAGTCATGCATCAAACACGGTCAAGTAGCAGGGTCAAGATTCTTTGGTTTTAGTCTAGTTGTCTTTTTTAATATTGTAACTTTCTATTTAATGTACAAAAAGTATTATTACTCCATCTTCTGGATGACTGGTCTATTTTGAGCTGGCTGTCTATGATGCAATCTGTTTCATCTGCTAGATTTCAGATAACAGAATAACATTTACCAGGTTATAGATTAGACTATAAACTACAGAACCAGTTTTATTACTGATAACAGAAGGGGAGCATAAAGAGACACTTACTTATTTTTATTGTAGTTGTACTTCCTCCTCGGATACATTAAGATGACCGAGACTTTGCTAACTCAAAAGATAGTCCCAACCCTGGATTACACTAATTGTTCAGAACTTTGAGAACCTGAATTGGGATGTCATGTTGAGGTTATACAGGACGTTGGTGAGACCTCCTCTGGTGTACTATGTGCAGTTCTATTCGCCCTGCGTTAGGAAGGATATTATTAATTGGAGAGAGTTCAGCAAAGATTTACCAGGATGTTTCCAGGAATGGAAGGTTTGAGTTAGGCTGGATAGGCTGGGACTTATTTCACTGGAGCACAGGAGGTTGGGGGATGACCTTTAGAGGTTTGTAAAATCAGGAAGGACATAGATAAGGTGAATAGCAAGGAACTGTTCCCTAGAGTGAGGCAGTTCAAATCTAGGAGCATATTTTTAAGGTGCAAAGAGAATTTTAAAAAGGACATAAGGGGCAACTTTTTTTACAGACAGTGGTTTGTGTGTGGAATGAACAGCCAGGGGAAGTGATGGATGCAGGTACAGTTACAACATAATAAAAGATAATTGGATAAGTACATGAATAGGAACAGTTTGGAGGGATATGGGCCAAACGCAGGCAAGTGGGACCAGTTTAGTTTGGACAGCGTGGACTGGTTGGACCAAAGAGTCTGTTTCCATGCTGTATGACTCTGACCATAAGATGTTGGAACAGAAGGAGGCCATTTGGCCCATTCAATGGAACCATGCCTGATAAACTTGCAATCATGACTGATCTGATAATGTGCAATTCTATTTTCCTGCCTTTTTCCTATAACCTTGATTCCCATACAGATTAAAAATCTGTTTCTCAGCCTTCTATCATTTTAGATGAAATTCCTCCTCATCTCTGATCCAAATGAGTAACCCCTTACTCTGAGATTATGCCCTCCGGTCCTAAATTCTCCCATGAGAGGAAGCGGCCTGTCCGCATCGACCTTGTCAAGCCCCTTAGAATCTTGTATATTTCAGTAAGGTCACCTGTCTATCTTCTAAACTCTAAGTACAGGCCCAACCTACTCAACCTTTACTCTTGAGAAAATGCCTTGCAGCTGGGATCACCGAATGAACCTGTAGGCCTGCCTCAAATGCCAGCTCTTTCCTTAGGTAAGAGAACTGAAATTGCTCACAATATTCCAGCTGTGGTTTAACTAGTGCCTTTATAATTTTTGCAAGATTTCCCAATTTTTCTAATCAATTCCCTTTGAAATAATGATCAAGTTCCATTTACTTTTCCTGTAACCTGCTAAACTAGTATGCTAGCTTTGTGACTTGTGCACAAGTACTGCAATTTTCTGCCATTTCTCCATTTGAATAATATTCAACTCATCTATTGTTCTCACCAAAGTGCAAATTCTCTCATTTTCCCACATTCTATTCTGCCTGCTAAGTTTCTAACCACTCAACTAACCTGCTATATTCCTGTGCAGACTCTTTGGTTCATCCTTCACTTGCCTTCCACCTAATTTTTTTTTTGTCATCCACAACCTTGGCTATGGTACATTCACTTTCCTCATCAGTCATTTAAACGACATTTATAAATAATCATGGGGCCAGTGCTAAGCCCTGTGGCACTCCACTAATTTCAGGCTGTTATCTTGAAAATACATCCCTCATCCCAACTCGCTATCTTCTATTTGTTAGCCAATCCTCTATTTGTGTTAATAATCTCTAACACCATGAGCTCTTATTAAGTAGCCAAACATGTGGTACCTTTTTTATTAAATGCCTTCTGTAAATACAAATATTGTACGTAGACTGCTTCCTCTTCATCTCTCCTTGTTACCTCTTCAAAGAATTCTAATAAGTTTGTCATGACTTTGTGAAGCCATGCTGATTCTGCTTTATTTTATTATGTATTTCTATATGCTCTGTTTTGATATCCTTTTATATTAGACTCTAACATTGACCTAATAACAGATGTTAATATAACCAGCCTCCAGTTGCCTTTTTTTGTCCTGTTCCATTTTTAGAATAAATGAGATACATGGCAGTTTTCCAATCCTTAGGAACTTTTCAGAATCTTAAGTATTCTTGAAAGATTACTTACAGTACATCTGTCTCTGTAGCTACTTCTTTTAACATTCTAAGACGCATCCTATTAAGTTTGAGGACTTATCAGGTTTTTAAATCCCATTAGTTTCATGGAGTACTTTTTCTCTCATGATAGTTCATAGAATCATAGAATCCCTACAATGCGGAAGCAGGCCGTTTGGCCCAGTGAGTCCACATTGACCCAAACCCAACCCCCTACCCTATAGTGGTAACCCTGTATTTCCCATGACTGATCCAGCTAGGTTGCACAGCCCTAGACACAATGGGCAATTTAGCATAGCCAGTCCACCAAACCTGCGCAACTTTGGTCTGTTATTGTATTTATTTCCTCTCCCACTTTTTGTCCTTTGATTAATCAGTATTTGTGGAATGTTGTTACTGTATTTAACCTTTTAAGATGATGCAAAGTATATATTCAATGCCATTGCCATTTCCTGTTCCCTATTTTTATTTCTCCAACCTAATTGTCTAAGGGGCCTAAGTTCACTTTGGACTCTGTTTTTAAAAAAAACTAAAAAGGAACACAAAAAGTCTTCCTGTCTGCCTTGATATACTTATAAAGTTTATTTTGTCCCTTTGCTGTGACTCTTCTACTTGAAGGATTTATAATGAAACACAGAGCTCCACGTAATGTGTTCCTCACTTACTGCAGTATGATGCTGCTTCAACAATTGAAGTTGAATAAGAGATATCTCTGATTTATTACTGATTTGAGCATGCAGCTCTTCATCTGCTTTTCTCAAAGCTAATGTGTAGGGCCTTTCTTTAAGAAAACTGGGCTAATAACGAAGAAGAAGAATATCAGAATTGGTGTACATGTCAGTTAGTACCTGGAAATGTTACATGACATCACGAGAAGTTCTGCCTGTCAGGATATAAAGGGCAGTTCCTGGGAGGAGTGAACCTGTTACCAGTTGCTGTTCTAATGCTAAGTTCCCTATAGCTAAACAGTAACGTGCAGTTACTTTAGTCTAACCTGAGGTCTCACAAGAGATTATCAAGCAACCCTGACATAATGTAAGTAGTTGTTGGGTAATATGTAATAAACCTATTCTGTATAACAAGATTGAACCTCTTCTGTTGATGACTTTCTTTGGGCATCCTTCCCATTTGTTATACGTTATGTAGACCGGTAACAATAAGAAATGTTGGTATCAGTGAATCCACCAAAGGCATATCAGTTGGTTCTGGTGGACATGACCACAACACATTTGATGTATGTACCTTTCAAACTGCATAAGGGGTTCAACTTTGACAGGAGTTTCTACCCAGGAGATATTTTCTGACCAAGGTCTCTGACTTGCTGATTAAATTAGCTTATTGAAAACCTATGATCAAAAAGAAATGTTTTTACTTCCTCTCTAATGATTATTTTCTAAATGAAGCAATCCTGTTGGATGGTGTTTAATTTGAGTTTTTTCTAGTTTGAGTATCTAGTGGTGTTTCTATATTCAACTAAACCTTACAATACAGTTTGATAAACTTGAAATGACTGACCATTTCTCATAGGTAAGGTGTGAAGAGTGTTCTTGAGACTCAAATTTTATTACAGCATTTTATCACAGCTGTATGTGAATCTCCAGTTTAGTCTGTCTGTCTGTGTGTCTGTGTGTGTCTCTACCACCCCTCCCATCACCATGCTTAGCTTGTATAGGGTAGATAGTGTAGTCATTTTAAAAATAGATTGGTAGTATTCATTCTTTTTTTTTAATCTTTCAATGTTTTGTTTTCTGCTCCACCAGTGTGTGCCTCCTCTACTGTGTATAGATGTCAATTACGATATTAATGAATTAGACTTCAGTTAGTTATCTATTATTTTGACTATGTTCAGCATTATGGTCAATTCCCACCACTGTCCTTGCCAAGTATCCACGTGCATTTCCAACAGGAGCTTCAGCAGGATAATGATCAGGAGCTTGAACTCGAGGCAGCCACAGCTGACCTTTCTCTTTCTCAAGCAATTTGGGATCCATTTCATTCAGTGTCAACCAATCCATACATTCTGGACATTGGTTTCAACACCTTTCTGGTTTCACCTGAGATATCCAGACCAACATTGTTCAAAATTTCCAAGAACTTGCTGAATAAATTCCCTAAACAATTGGGCGAACTACCTTCCAAAGTAATTCCTTGACATGCTTTCCCCTAACCTGGTTTGGTTCTCTGAATTAAGAAATCAGACAAATAACTCATGTGACTTATTGCCTCTCCAAATCTCATGCTGTCCCTGAGCCATTTGGACAGGATGAGAACATCACAAACTGATCCTTTGATTTATGCCTGTTCACTGTAAGGGAAATACTTTGGTGTGTGCCCTACGCTTCTTCATGATGGCATGTTATGCTGTTGTGGCATTGAATTTTCAAAACGTTCACTAAGGCACAACAAGTATCCTTCAGTGAAGCATCTACTTTTTGAATATTGCTAATTCATTTGCATAATTATCTTTCCCCACAAGCTGGAATTGATTTATCACACATTTGGAAGACATCATTTCAAGAAAACCACTGCCAACCTAGATCTATTTCTTCGAAGATTCAATGAAATTCAGTTCTGGGTTGTAACAGAAATCTGCCTATGTTCTCAGCTCAGTAAAAGAGTACAACTTCTGAAGAAGTTTATCAAGATTGCAGCTCAGTAAGTATGGATAAGATTTACGTACAATGCAATTATTGTTTAATCATCTACTGCTTTATTAATCTATCATAAAGGTCCAAAATATTTAGTTTTCAGTCATAGTCATCACCTTTATATACTATCTGAATATCATCAACAGATCAACAAAATAATTCCAGCAACAAAGTATTCTGAATAAAACTACTAGCCCAATTGAATTGGTGGGGAGAAAAGAACAGGAATAAAATTAACAAAATTAAATGTTCATGAAATGCCTGAAAAAAGCACTAAATTTTACTGTTTAATAGCTGTTTAAGAAAATGTACATAAACAGCACTATCACAAAGCTTAGTTATTCATTTAACAGAGACAGATTGTTTGAGTGCTTTATCAATTTAACTGGGAATTTGCATTGAAGACTAACTGTGGATAGCACTAATGCAGTGAGTTACAAACTGAGGGACATTTCTAACAGTACAGAATCTGATCTAAAAATTGGAAAGGGTGTCCAGTAAGTAGAAATCTGAGATAACTGATCTGTGCATTTTATTTTCGAGCACTTGTGCTTATTTTATGCCCTATGTTGTGTTTTTATTTTTTCATGGGACGTGGGCATCATTGGTTTGTCCAGCAATTCTTGCCTATACCTAATTGCCCTTGAGCCAAATCTATCATAATATTGTTGTGTACAAATTCATTTTAATCAGCTTTTTTTAAATCTTGGCCAACCACTGGTTGATTGGCTTTCTTATTTTTCAGATTTGGATGAAAGGTGGCTATTTATTAAGCTGTGCTTTTCTAGGATCTTGTAGCACAGAAGGGCGATTTGGTCTGTTGTACCGTGCTACCTTTCTGGCAGAGTTTGCCAATATAAGCCTACACCCCAGCATTTTCCCAATAACTTCTCAAAGAATCATAGAATATTACTGATGAGAACACATACCGGCCAGTACAAACTGACCTGACACGCAACTAGGCAACAAAATCCTCTACACGCTAAAAAGACTTAAACAAACAGGACAGATCAACAAAGCAGACTTCTCAAGAATGAAACCCAAAGGAACCAACACACCCCGATTCTATGGCCTCCCTAAAGTGCACAAGCAGGAAGTCCCCCTTAGACCCGTAGTCTCCCTACCAGGCACTCCATCACACAGATCAGCCAAGGAACTACAAAGGAGACTCTGGCACCTAGTCAACAAGTCATGCCACTCTATCCACTCAGCCCAAGAATTCCTCAACTCCATCAAAGACATAAGGATAGACGACGAAGAGACCATGATATCGTTTGATGTCACTGCCCTATTAACAGCAATAGACATACCACTAGCAAGGGAAATAATGACAACACTACTGGAACAAGAGCCAGACTCCAGTGAAACCATCTCTAAGGACAACATGTTCGAACTATTGGGCCTATGCCTCACCGCCCACTTCACTTTCAACAGCTAAACATGCGAGCAAATCAACGGGACACCCATGGGATCACCTATCTCCAGACTCTCAGCAGAAGCAGTGATGCAAAGACTAGAAAGGACGGCCCTCCTGCAAATCCAACCAAAACTATGGATATGCTACGTGGACGACACCTTTGTCATCATTAAACAGACCAAATTAGAGGAGATGCACAAACTTATAGACAACACCCTCGCTGGAATAAAATTCACCAGAGAGGAGGAAAAGAACAAACCGCTCCCATTCCTGGACATGGTAGAGCGCAAGACAAATGGGGAACTGCAAACAAAAGTACACCGAAAAGCCCCACACACAGACCAGGTACTAACTTCAACAGTAACCATCCCAGCGCGCGCGCACAAAGCTGCGTGCAAACACTATTTAAAAGGGCAACAACACACTACAGCAACACGGAACTACACCAAGAGGAAGAAGAATACCTCTTCCAGGTTTTCAAGGATAATGGATATCCAAAAAACTGGGTCAGAAGATGCCTACTCGAACAACATCAGAAAGATACTACATGCCCCGACACCCTCGTCACACTACCCTACATCAGGAACACGTTGGAACTCACCACAAGACTCCTACGACCGCTGGGCATCAGAGTGGCACACAAGCCCACATCAACCCTACGACAACTGCTCACCCGAACTAAAGACCCACTCCCCGCCACGGACAGGACCAATGTCATCTACAAGATCCCCTGCAGAGACTCTGAGAAACGCCACATTGGACAAACAGGAAGGAAACTAACGACAAGAGTACACGAACACCAACTGGCTACAAAAAGACACGACCAGTACTTGCTCATCTCAATCCACATGGACAAGGAGAACCACCATTTCAACTGGGACAACACCAAAATCCTGGGACAAGCTAGGCAGAGACAGGCACGAGAATTTCTAGAAGCCTGGCACTCCACAAAGCATACTATTAATAAACATATTGAACTGGACCCCATATACATTCCACTACATAGGAAAACCGGAAGTGAGGCAATCCATCTCAACGGACCCCAGAGTTTAAAAACCAGGCGGGAGAACACACCGATGCTTCATCGGAGGCTGCACTGAGGATGTTACCCAGCATGGTAATGAAACGTCTGCGAAACGAAACCAGCTCGGCGAGCCAACCAACCTCAACCTCAACACCCACAACCTGAGCTACAAATCTACTCCAAAACCTTGGAGAATATTACAGTACAGAAGAATGCCATTCAACATATGTTTGTACCAGCGCCCAAAAGAGCTGCCCAGCCTCATCTCCATAGTGCCCTCAATTCATCATTTTTCAAATATATATCCAGCTCTATTTTGAATCCTTCTACGGAATCTGCCTCCATCGCTCTCCCAGGCAGTGCATTCCAAATCCTAACAACTCTCCTCATTTCCTAACACTGTTGCTGACAAAATTGAAATTGTGACCCCTAGTTACTGAGATACTAATTAGTGAAAACAGAATATCCTTCTTTACCCTGTCACAATTGTCCATAATTTTGAATACCTCAATAAGGTCATCTCTTAATCATCATCTCTGTTCTAAGGAGAATATCCCAACTTTGCTAATCTTTCCTTGTTTGTAGAATCCCTCCTTCCTGTATCATTCTAGTAAATCTCCTTTTGAACTAATTTCTATCCTTACATAAGGTGTCCAGAACTGAACACAATACTCCAAATGTTGTCTCATCAATGATTTGTAGAGGTATAGCATTACTTCCTTGCTTTTACACTCTGCTTCTATTTGTAAACGCAAGGATCCTATAAGCCTTCTTAACTGTTTCAACTTGTCTGGCCACCTTCAAAGAATTATGGACATGGTTATACAGGTCCCTCTGCTCCTGTACTCTCCTCAGAGTTGTACCCTCAATAACGAGCTCAGTTCCCAACTGAGAGAGACTGGATATAAACTATGGTGTGTCTGAGTGCCAGCACTGTGCCTTTACTGCCCCCTAACTTATGAAAACCACCCCCCTTCCATGAATCACTTGCTTTGCTGTTGGCTCCTCCATAGTCCCAGATGCCCTTCCAACAGTAGGTTCCACCCTTCAGTGGTACAGCCGAGTCAAAGAGCTGCTGGACTTTGATTACTTGGCAGCTCCCGATATACAGGACTTCTGCCCCAGCTTCTTAACTCTTTTGGGATGGAGGCGACACCTCTACCTTATTGGGAGTGGAGATAGCATCAATGGGGTGCCTACAGATGGCTTTGTAAACATCTGATTGACGTTAGATTCGTCAGGTCTTCCTGAAAGAGTCAGCAGTAGTTGATGAGATAACACCATCCCCCAAGTCTCCAAGCCCTGTACATACTGAAACTTAAATTCTACCTCCTGTGTCCAAATCCAGGTGTTCTAAAAATAACAAGAAAAATTTATGTTCTTACTACAGATCTCTGAAGTATCCACTGCATACTTTTCTCCAAAAAGACATTAATTCTACTGCGCTCTCCCTTCCCTCCCTTAGCCAATATTTAATACCATGTGCTTCTGTTTTCTGAATATATTTACATGGCGCATTGTCAAGGCTTTCGGAAACTCCCTATAAATAACATCCAATGCACTACCTTCATCAACCCTTTATAACTTCATGAACTGGTTAATCAGATTCTTTATCTTCAACAAACGCATGCTGACCTTTACTACTTACTAACCCAATTAGCTTTCTAAAATGACAATTATTTTTTGTCTTTTCTAATAATCTCTAATAGTTTTTACGTTACTGATTATTAGATTGATTTAGCCTGTAATTACCAGGTTCTGGTGGTATTTATTTATTGGAACACAACCCAGTGTTCCAAAATGCATCAGAACCAATAAATTGTCTGTTGAAGTGCAGTCTCTAATGCATTTTAGGAATATGCAGCAACCAGCTTGTTCACAGTGAATTTCTGATCAGTAATGAGATATGTAACCCAATTAAACTGTTCTGGTGGTGTTGGTTATGGGAGTAGGCAACAATGCCAAGAGAATTATGCCACCCTTCATTGAATATTGTCATGGAATCTTTTATACCTAATTCACAGGGCATGCTGGATCTTGAGGTAACATCACGGTCAAAAAAGCACTTTCAACAGTGCACATTCCCTCAGTCTTGCACTTGAGTGTTCTTTGAGATTATATGCTTATGTCCTGGAGTGAAACATGAATCCATAATGTCCTGACACTGACGATATCCCCGAGCTGAGCTTGGATAGCGCTGACCCAAGGAAATTTAAGTCACTGGTTAGGTTGATTTAGATAATTCTGCAACTTTTCTAAATACACAACACAAAATCCTTGTAATTCCCACAATTAAGTTATAGCTGTTAGATTTTGTGCATGACCCCACTCGACCCAAATTGCCCAAAGCACCTACATAAAACCTTTGCCCTCTCAAATCCACTCTGGTAGCAAAAAATGGGAAGGCAAATTATTTGAATTGCTGTAAACTGGGGGAGAGAAATGTTCGATGAGACCTGGGTATCTTCGTGCTCCAGCTGCTGAAAGTAAGCACACAGGTGCAGCAGGCAGCAAAGAAGGCAAACTATATGTTGGCCTTCATAACATGAGGATTCAAGTACAGGAACAAGGATGTCTTGCTGCAGTTATACAGGGCATGGGTGAGGCCACATGGGGAATACTGTGTGTAGTTTTGGTCTCCTGATCTGATGATGCCCCTCTTGCTATAGAGGGAGTGCAGCGAAGGTTTATTCAATTGATTCTTGGGATGGCAGGACTGATGAAGAGACATTGAGTCCATTAGGATTGTATTCATTGGAGTTTAGAAGCATGAGGGCTATCTCCTAGAAACCTGACAAAGTTTAATAGGACTGGACAGGTTCGATGCAGAAAGGTGTTTCTAATGGTGGGGTGAGTCCAGAACCAGGGGCCACAGTTTAAGTATAAGGGGTGAACCTTTCTGGTCTGAGATGAGGAGAAATTCTTCACAGAGTGGTGGGCCAGTGGAATTTTCTACCACAGAGAATGATTGAGATCAAACGTTGTCTTCTCAACAAAGAAGTAGATATAACTCTTGAGGCTAAAATGATCAAGGGTCGGTGATTAGGATGTTGAACTCATTGACCAGCCATGATAATATTGAATGGCAGAGTCGTTTGAAGGGTCCAAATGGCCTACTTCTGCTCCATTCCTCAATGTTTCTATTTCTATGTTCAAGCAGCCTAGTTTTGAGAGAATGTGCCTATATTTCTGCTGCCCCTTCAAAATCTTGGGTACGGGTTTATGTTGATGTCATTCTGACCACCAGTATGTTGGTTACTCTTGCAGATATTATTAAGACAGACTAATCCGTCTCCCAGTTTTATTTTTTGACTGTCATAATTTTGGAAGTAATCTCTTCTTAAATACTTATTACTGGGCATTAGGGGGATGGGAAGCTCTTGTTGATCATGAGGGTAATTGTTATTAAATGTTATGAACCAAATTTAAATTTATGCGTGTTATCTATTTTAAACTGGGCAGTAGATCATTAAAAATAAGCATTCATGAACAAATAATACAATTGATAATTATGTTCTAAGCATGCTTATTGTGTTATCATTCTTTGAGATGGCCAATGCTGACTTTTTTTTATTGAAGTAATTTTCATAGCATTAGGTTGTAAAATGCTGCTCGTCAGTAAAATGCACTGGTTTGAGACAACTTGCTATTAATGGTGAATAACTCTATTTGACCTATTTGCTTTTCATCTAATTGTGTCAAATAAACACAAGATTGAGACATCTTGTTTCATATAATAATAATTCTAATGAATCTTCTTTATCCTTTTCCAGTTGCAAAGAATATAGAAATTTGAATTCCTTTTTTGCTCTTGTAATGGGACTGAGCAATGTAGCTGTTAGCCGTCTCTCTCAGACCTGGGAGGTAGGTCATTCTCATCAACCATGTCCATTAAGACCTCGTTTACAATAAGCAGGAACACTGTATTTTCAGTAATAATACAAGTTCTGAAATTACAAATATAGTCGTATGCATTTTGGAATGTTTTCTAATACTGCATCTGTTTGTGTGGTTTTCATATAAAGGAATGGTGCTGCCAGCCATGACTTCAGTCTTTGGTTTAATGTGGTTAGTAATGATAAAGTCCCAACTCCTATTAGACCATACAGCTGCTCTCTCATTAGGGAAGACTGGTGGTGGTTTAACCTGGAGGTCACCATGCCTCGAGCAAGAGGAGAGGTTGAGAAGGAATCCTTCATGGTAACCTCAGTTGGTGTTGGAATTTAACCCACACATTTGACATCACTCTGCATCGCAAATCAGCCATCCAGCCACCTGAGCTAACAGATCACATCCCCCTCCCCCAGTATGATTAGTAAACCTCAAGGAACTTACTGGAAACTCCTGCTCTTATTCCTGTATGATTTCCCATCTCTCCTGACCAGACAGGATGAGGAACTGATTCCTTGCCTCTCCTGTTGGCACCTGTTCCTGGATTCTCCCAGTGGGATTAGGACCATTCCCCTTTCCATCAGGACAACCAGATGATCACATCACATCACATCACTGCACTGCACTAGCCTCTGGAGAGGACTATTTTTTCAACATACCGCTGTCCACATGCACAGGTAAGTACAGTAGCAAAGTCCATGATTATTGACACCAGGTGCCAGTGTCCTGAGTTTCTGCAGGGAGGAGTCTCTCCAAATTGTACTCCCACCAAGGTGTCCCTATCTGAACTAGTGGGGTTGCAGGAAGCAGCCTTGTCAGTGCTTCTTCTCAGGCCTCAGTACGGTTGTCCTCCGGGGTTGTAGAGGTGGCTCCTGGAGAATCTGGGTGTTTCTCCACATGATGATGGACGTGACAAAGGTACCTGCGAGAGGAAAGAGAGAAAGTGTTGTGGTCAGTGGTTAGAAGTGATGCGCAATGAGTGAGACTGGCTGTGTAGTTACTGTGAGAGTTGCAATGGAATAAAGAGTGGTACTTATTCAGTTAGCAGGACCTGGCTGTCTCACGTCTCTGAAGGAGCAAGCAAAGGCCAAAATTCTGTCCTCTTAGGGGCTGGCGAACCAAATATCGCGCACCTTTCCACCTATCTATGCTCTTTCGGCCCTAAAGTGGGCTGTCATCACCTGGAGAAGGGAGCAAGAGCGAGAGTGAGCGAGAGAGCGAAAAATTAAATGAGGTGAAAAGGACTGCTAGTTTTGGTGCAATGGGAGAAAAGTGGTGAAGTGTACTGAACAAGTGAGTAGGTGGTGCAGATGCAGAGAGGAGGGTTAGTGGTGTGCGAGGATGGGCGGGGTGTGTGGTGGCGGGGAGGTGGTGGTAATGAGAGCGAGTGAGGGAAGATGTTGCTGGCAATAGTTAGAGTAGTAGAGCTTGAGCTCTGGTGTGAGGTGGGTGCAGTGGCAGGGATAGACATTGTGTGAGGTAGTAGAGAGAAGATTATACTACTTACTGTGAAGGAGTGCAGAAGATCATTGACCTTCTTCCTGCAGCACTGGCCATTCCTCCACACCATGAGATGGCACTGACCTGGATGGCCACCTCAGGCCAGGCTGTCAGGGTTTGCTGGTGTGGCCTCATCCTCCGGTCCTCCAAGAAGCCCCTCCTTTGCACCACCCCCTCCACTAGGATCTTCAATTCCCTATTGCTGAATCATGACATCATCTCCAACATTTTCAGATTCCATCCTGGAGCAAACAGGGCTGCTTCAAAATGCCAGTGCATGTGCAGATGCACATTGGCCTCTAAAAGATGGTGTGGGTGCAAGGGATACTGGTCTTTCACAGACATCAGTGAATGGTGAGTTATTTGGGGATCAATGTATGTCAAGGTGGGGCTAGAATCAGATGTGATGGATGCTATGGGGGCAGGGTTGGTAGCTAATAAGGCATCTTTGCAAAGAGTAAAATCTTGCACCATATCTTGCCTCATGGTGAGAATCCTTCCAAAAACCTGATGCAATTCGGACTTTTTGGTTAAGATTCAGCCATCTGTGTTACCTTTGGCTCATTTCCCAATCACCTTAAATCTGTGTGTTCTGATTCTTGATCCTTCTGCCATTGGAACAATTTCTCTCTATCTGCTTTCTCTAGTCAAACCTCATGATTTAAAGAACTCTGCTCTCCTTTTAACCTTTCCTTGTCGGACAGCAACAAGCTCTGCTTCTCTAACCTATTCACCTGAAATCATTCTTGTAAACCTTCTCTGCACTTTGTTCAAAGCCTGTTAGTTGTCATATAACTGCTGCATTCTGCATGGCAAAACCTCCACCAATCAGAGTCCACTTGCCAGCCCATGACGGAGCACTTAAGAAGAAAGACTGTAAAGTTGAACACTTTTTTTATTTCTTCTTTTTTCTGCCTTTATATTCATGATTTGGTTTATTTTTCTGTGCTTTAAGATGGGCCAGAGAGTGGTGACACTGTACAACACTTTTCACTGTATCTTGCAACAAAATACATGTGACAATATATGAATCAAATCAAATCAAGTCAAGTCAAATCAAGCCAGTCATCAGGCTCTTCCCCATGTAGTGCAAACATGTTGTTCTCCTTCACATTGGTATTCTTTATAAATTGTCCTGATGAGTGCAAGAGGAAAAGCTTCTATAAATGCCTTTGTTTCTCCAGTGGTACTCGAGTTCTGTATTACCAAACAGTGATTTTTGTTCCTTTTACAATCCTAAACTCCACATATAAAGCTCAAGACCCTATATATCTTTTAACCTCTTTCTTGATCTGCCCTGCCACCATCAATAATCTGTGAACAAATATCCCTAGATTCTCTGTCCCGCGCCTGCTTTAGAATTGTACACTTACTTTATATCACTTCTTGTTGTTCCTACCAAAAGAAATTGCTTAACACATTTTCATTGAATTTCATATCCTACGTGTCACTCATTCCATCAGTCTTTGTTCTCTTGATGTTTATCATCATCCACTTCACAGTTCACAATACTTCCAAGCTTCGTGATAACTGAAAATGTTGAAATTGTGCCCTGTACACCCTAGATTTAAGTTATTTATAAATATAAGAAAAGCAGTGGTCTCAAAACCTATTATATTCTTTCTCTTCACCACTACTGCTTCCTGTCACTCAACCAATTTTTGTCACCATGTTCCCATTGTCATTTAATTTCCTTGGCTTCAACTTTGCTGGCAAGCCTATTTTGCGCACTTCATCAAATGCATTTTAGAAGTCTGTATAGATCACACCAGTACCATTTCCTTCATCAATCCATCTTTTGCCTCCCAACAAAAATGAAGTCCATTAAACACAATTTGCCTCTCAAATTGGTATTGGTTTTCTTTACTCAACTTCTTCACTTGTCCGAGTTACTTTCAATTTTGTACTGGATCATCTCATTAAAAACTTCCTCACTATCAAAGTTAAATGACATGGCTTGCAATTGCCGGGTTTATCCTTACATCCTCATTTTAAAAAATAGTGCATCATTCGCAATTCTCTAGTCTTTTGTGGCAAGCACCAATTAGAAGTTTTAGAAGATTATGGCTAGTACTATTATAACTTCCACCTTTGTTTCCCTCTAAACTTGGATTCACGTGTCTAGCCCTGGTAATTTATCAACTTGAAGTACTACCAACCTTTCTCCTAACTGTATTTTCATCAATTTTTAGTTCTACAATATCTCAACTGCCTCCACTTCCAGTTTGTGCCAAGAGAATCTGCTTCATTGATAAATACGGATGCAAAGCATTAATTTAGTCCCCCACCCAGCTCCCTGGCCTGTGTATAGGTTTCTGCCGTTTAGGTCCCTCTAAAATCCTTTTATTAATTATATGCTTTGGAAGACTTTTAGATATTCTTTTTACATTAGCTATCATTTTCCTGTCATCATTGCTCTTTGCCACTTATTTCCTTCCTCACTCCCTCTCTGTACTTTGTATATTCAGTATGGTTCTCTATTATACTGCCCATCTTGACTTTACCCAACCAGCTCCTCTTTAATGGCCTTCACGCTGTGCTACAGTTTTGCTTGCTAACCTCCTAATCCAATTCATCTGGGACAGGACCATTCTGAGCCCACTGAAATGTGTCTTTCTTCAAATAAATCATTTTACATAGATTGTTCTTTGTTCTTTGCCTTTTCAATAGCTGCTCTAAGTTGTACAATATTATGATCACTATGCACATTTTTAATGGCTAGTGGGAGACAGGCCATTGTGGAAATTATGGAAGATTCAATCCGTTTGGTCCCAAACACACACATTCTGCGTGGCAAACGCTTGCTTTCTCTGGAGGGAGTTGTAAATATATCAAAAAATACAATTTTTTTGTTAAATCCACCAATGATGCTTATTTTATTCAACCAGTGAGATCATGTATATCTTTTGAACAGAAGTCATTAAAATAACAAGATTTAACTATATCCACAAGAGAAAATAGTGTACATGTAAAGCTTGTGTGAAGCAAATTGAATACCATATGACAAGACTATGAAATTGATGTAAATAACATATCTCCTGACATTCATGCACAGCTAACTAGCAGTCACTTGATTGTTGTTGGTTCTTGCCATAGATCATATTCAGTTTGAAATACACAAGCAAATAAGGCATTTTGCATTCATACTCAGTTGAAAAAACATGACCATCTTCCCACACAAGTACATTTTGTTTGTGAAAATCGACAAGAATAGAGTGTCACCTTCATTGTATTATTACTGCACCCTTCTCTGTTGTATGGTTACCCTCCCGTGCTCCTGATTTTTTTTTTAGCCTCTGTAATACTTCGTTAATCATTGAAAATGGGAATTGAAATGTGAGGATTAGGGTAATTTGGCACTCCTTCACAGTTGCAGACATGAATTTGAAAGATGTGATGCTCAACATGTCAATCATTGCAATAATTGAACTTAGAAGATACATAATACCGAACACTATGGCAGGTCAGAACAC